CGACTAATGGACAAAAATGAATGCTTACAGTGGCATTGATTTGATTGCACAATTAAGTGAGAAGTCGTGGCCTCTGAAGACTGGATGGATCCGCACTTTGTCATTTATCACCGATTAACATCCACAGCGGGCGACGACTCCTCTGCCATCCGAGAGTTGTGCCAGGGCTCTGGCTTTAAGCTTTTTGGGGGGCTATCCAGATCCAGCCCATCGTAAATTCAAAACTTTTGCACCCTGCATCAGAGTTAGGAACGTGACCGCAAAGTGAAGAGGAATTTTCAGGGGATACGAGCAACGTAACATAACCGCTGGTAGATTTTCCCGGTCAGAAATGGAAGCTGCTTGGAAAGTTTTCATAGCCAGCGAGAGATATGCCCGAAAATACAGAACTATGCAGCTGGGTGAGTGAAAGTGGTAACTGAATTATTTGCGAGAATATTTTTTACAGTTTCTGATATGCATACAAAAAGTGAGTGGGGTGGGGGGTGGGGCGTTGCAGGAGAAAATCCCGTTCCCATTTCCATTCGCATGGGGGCTTCGTGCACGGGGAAAACCTGCTTGGTCAGGGCTTTTTCCTTCAATTATTTAGACATTTCACTCGATTGTGTGGCTGCTTTATTGATTCGAAAGGCGAACAAGGCCAAACAACTACAAAACGGCGAGTATATCCCGGCCAGTCTCTGAGTGGCTCTCAGGAAAGGCGGCTTCAGCCTGCTGATGTCACTGATGGTAAAAAGTTTATACAGAAAGCCAATAACAGGAAAGTCCCAGCACTACTCGTAAAACAGCAACAAGAACCACAATACAGAACAGAAAATAGAGAGAGAAAGCAGAAAGGCTAAGTTGGAATGAAACAAAACAAAGCAGCGGCGGGGAATAAAGAGAACGCGAGAGAGGAAAAAGAAATGATGGCAAACTGTAACTGTAGCCACACACAAAGGGAAGCGAAACCGTTAAGGCAGCAATAAATTGTGTTTTTATAAGGTAGGTAAATAGAGCACAAAATCCGTGGATAGCCAATTGAAGGGGAGGGCAGCAGCAACCACAAAATACACACACAAAAACCAGCGGGGGGAAGCTGAGGATACGAGGATTTATCATTTCGGGGAGGCGGAGGAATACGCATCCCACAGACAGACGCAGACTATGACTTTTGGACTGACCAAATGACAAGAAGATAGAACTAACCATTTAGAAGCAGTGGACACAGGATAAGTGTACCTTATAAAGATAACAATTAATATAAATGAAAGCTGCAAGTTCATTTGAAATAAATATATGTATAGTCTGAGTTATACAAACAGAGTAATCCGGGACAGCTGGGCGGCTAATGGGCGGTTTATGCTACCACAAATTCCTTTTGTGCAACAATTATCCATTAGCTTTACAAGAACATATAGAAAATGTTCCTTGACCAAAGCCTTCTATGCGATTCTAATAGTAGGAAGGTTATTCGTAATCTTAAATGATCTAAAATAAATGCTCGCAAAATATGGTTAGGCAAAAGAGTCTTCCTTCAGAAGACATGTCAGTTCAGCATTTATGCAAAATATTAAAATGCAAGCCCCAAATTCGTATCAAACTTTTCTCTACGCAAGAACGGGACGACGCCTTTAATGATTTCTGGAGCCCCCAAAGGCAAGCAATTAAAATGTTGGCCCTCTCAGGAGTTTGCACTGTTGGCGGCTTGAGGTTTGGCGCGTTTTTTTGGTGGTTGCTGCTGCCACTCCCGTCTTGGCATTGAGTGCCGAAATATCTGTTGGCCATGGCAATATCGCACATTCGCATACCATTCTGGGGGCCTAATTTATGGCAAATTCGCAGGTGCGCGCTTTACCCAGAGAGCTGTCAAAGGCCGCGTTTCTTTTCGGTACAGCACAGTGGCAGCAAAGCGGGAAAGCGGCGGGAAAAGCGCCAGCAAAAATGAAAGCAAAATAAGTTGAAGAAGAAGAGAAGATGAAGATGAAGAAGTGGAGGCAGGGAAAAACACAGTTGGCCAAAGCAATTTCCCAGCAAAGGACCTAAGGTCTAAAACAAAAGCAGACACACACACACATACACCAAGCAAGAGTGGGAGTCGAACGTGACGTCTGCGTGTGGGTGTACTGGAGTGTGGAAGTGTACGAGGGGAGGGTTGAAGAGAGCAAACACCAAAGGGAATTCTTGTAACTCTGAAAAAGGGGAGCTCCCAAAGACTTTTCAACTGCTTCGAGATGTGAATGAACTATTAATTATCAACATCAAAAGCAGCATTATGCGCCCGTTCATCATCATAGCCATCACTATTATCATCTGCATCGAGCGTAACTTTAGTTTGACCCATAATTACAAAAACTAAAGTTCAACTCTACTTTGTGTTTCTGTGTGTGTGGGGGGGATTGGGTGTGGGAGAGCACTTGGCCCCACTTGAAGTGGAGCCACTTTCCCTTTGCTGCCCCTGGCCCCAGGCCACATAAATTTCCATTATTTTACGTTTCCTGGAACTGTAAACTACATACAACAATAACGGTACTTACTCGCTCTGTTTCTGTTTCTGATTCTGTTTCTGTTGCTCTTGCTGGCCAAGTTCCGTTACGCTGCCAGCGCGCACCGTCTCCGCTTACAGTGCCGTCCCACCAACGTGCTCCGACGTCCTCGTTGATTTCTGCCTCCTTCTAGTCTGCTTCTTCCTCTGCTTTTATTTTTCGGCTTTCAGCGATTTTCGAGGTATTTACATTTACACACGCTCCCACTTACACAGACTTTCTAACACTCACTCACCCGCGCACACACTCAAACACACTGGGGCACATTCAGCTCTCGTATAAAACTGACTTTCACATTGCACTTGTAAATCCTCAATTGGTGGCGAAAACCTTGAGTTTTCGCATGCATATGTACTCGATATGTATTCTAAATAAATTATATAGAACTTCCACGTTTGGTTTAGTTTTCTTTTACGTTTCGTTGTCAAGTGCGTCGTTGTTTGTAGAGTTATTGCTGTTGATGTTGCTGTTGCTTTATGTATGTATATGTATTATTTTGGTTGTATCCTGCGAACGGATGTCTCTGATGACGGCGGCGCTGCGTTTTGTTTCGTTTTATTATACCGTTTATGTTGTGGAGCGTAACGTTTTTACACTCTAATTGACGGGAGACTTCTGAGCGTATCGAAGGCAATTGAAACGACGGAGAGGCCTGAGCCAGCAAAATTGCAAAGCGGACTCGGTGTGCTGCCCAACTGTGGCAGTTGGACTAAAGAGAGAGAGAGAGAACTGGAGAGCAGAAGTCAAACAAAATATAAAACCGCATGGGAAGGTAACAGGGCTGAGAGTCAAAGCATGAGCGCTGGAGAGAGCTTCCTGTGCTGACGGTAGGACGATTATCCGGGCATGGAAAGAAGCGCGAATTCAGTTCTGGTGGAGCTAATAGGGTTGCCAGGGACTGCTAATGTTCGAAAAGGGATTAAAAATATAAATAAATTTCGAGAAAGTTTAAGAAAAACACTGTACGCACTTGCAGCAAATAAACTGAGATGCAATTAATAAAAGTATGAATATTCAGCTAAGTCGTATCGAATTTGCCGTACACCTGACAGCCCTCAATGGACTCTCTGGAACTTTCTCTCTCCTTCTCTCGCTCTATTCGATTGCAAGCGCATGCGCTGCCAAAAACATTCCGGGCACACAACAACAAGAATGGCGAGAGAGCTTTCGTGGGCAGAGTGGGTGAGAGAGGAATGGAGTGGAAGGTACATGTATGCAAGGTGTGAAGCTCCTTTGACCATAGTTATCAATCGCAGCTATCCGCTGAGCTCTCTGTGGCCATTCCTCGCCTTGCATTGATGTAGCTTGCGCTGTTCACTGTTAAATAACAGCTGGTTGTTGCCGCTACCATCAACTTAACAGCCCAATCAACACCTACAGAGTGTAACATACACTTTAAAGGACATAAGCCCATAATGAACTCAACGACAGGCGGCATGAACAAAAACAACATGAGACTGAAGACAGACGGGTGACAGGGTGACGGGGTGACCTGGTGGTAGGATGAGCGTGTGTGATGTGGTGCAATGGGCAGTAAGTCAGCGGCGACAGCTGATCAGGTTGCGAGGGTTGTTTGCCTGCGCCGTGATACGATGCCACGATGCCAAGGGGGTCGCCAATGACCGAAAGCGGTTGAAAGAAATGAAAATGAGCAACACCAAAAGGAAAACAATATGCATACATATGCACGAGAAAAGGGGCAGGAATGTCCAATCCAGGACAGGCCAGACCAGGCCAGACGAGGGCATGGCCTTATCCCTATCCCAATGCCACCTTCCCCTCCCACGCCTCCATCCCATCCCCTTGGTAACCGAGACCAGCCAAGTGTGTGTGGCGGGGCGGCTTGTTTTCGCCATTGTGGTTGCCGTTGTTGTTGCATTGACAAGTCGTCGTTACTAATGACCAAACGCTATTCATGGCCCTCGACAATGCGCCCCAGTCCTAAAGGAGACGACACATGAGTCTCTGTGTGTGTGTCTGTCCATGTCCTTTGTTGAAGGCTTAGGGAGTGCAGTCGTTGCATTCTGTCTGCCCCGACTCCGAGCTGCAGCAAATGAGGCATTAATATCCAGTCAGAGACCCCAAACGACCCCGAACCGTGCCCGAACCGACCCGTCGTATGCCTCTGGCTTCCATGTTTTCGAGTATGTCAGGGCAAATATTAGTATTCCACTTCAATGTTAGCATTTTGTAATGGAAAGTGTTGTCGCCGTTTTCGTTGTTGTCACGGCTGCATATCCATCAGTTGAGCAGCCAAGCGCAAGTAATGTGTCACATTACAAATGTTGCTTCCTTCCCCATCCACTCCCCATACTCCAATCCACATGGCGCATGCCACCCAACCACATACAAACCCACAAATACTTACATACATATACATATATAGATATTAACTAGACTTACAGCCACAGTTTGACGCGAGCACAACCATCAAGCAGTAAGCCATAAGCGGCACTTTATTAACTTATCAAGCAGAAGCAATCAGCAAGCAGCAGGGGGGTTGAGGTTTAAGGTTTGGTTCGTTGGTTGCAGCTGCTGGTGTGCTTAGTGCAACAGCAACATTGCATTTATATAGAATACCAAGGCCAGATCGTTTATATGCTGACTATCGTGGGACTTGTCAACGTCATGAGCCTCATCCTCGAACCAGCTGCCAATTTCCATCACATTGCGCCAGTTCAAAAACTCATTGTAGCCAAAGAGGCCGCAAATTGTTGCTGTCGTGGCAAAATACATAAATGCAGATACAAGTGCCAGATAAGCCGGGCTCACCTTGCTCCAAATATAAATCTCGATACTGCTCGGGCAGCCCCAGGCTCCTTATGGCGTTCTGCTCGCGTTCCACCTCATTGCAATGGCTCTTGGCAAGCAGCTCGTACACCTGCGGAGGGCTCAAATGGGGGGCACACACGTGATGCTGCAGCATGTACAGCAGCAGTACCCTGAAATGTCGGAATGGGGGCAAGGTCTGGGTCCAGCCATTAAGGGATATACATACTGATGAGTCCTCTGGTAGCCATAGGTGGGTGCATCGCTGGTCAGCAGCTCCAGGCACTCGTGGGAAGCTAGCTTACAGTCGCTCAAGTCGAGCTCCGCAATCTCCCTCATGCAGAGATCTACAGGGGGAGGGATTTGCTCATTACTAGGAGTTCCGAGTTCCCTTGCAGCTCACCTGATTGCGTTCTATTGGGTTGACCCTCGTTGACCACATTTCCATATATGGCCGCCAGCTGCTCGTACTCTCCATTGGCATTCAGTTGGCCATACCGCACCGATGGAGGCAGCAGCAGGACGTTTCTCTTGAAGGCACTCTCCAGAACTGGAAGAAACATTTAAAGATCGGGTATTCAGGCGTCTCATTCACGCTCTTACTTTGTCTTTCGATGCCCGTTGCCGCTGCCTCCACCGAGCGGCTCTTGATGTGCTCCATCCTGTGCAGCAGATGATAGTAGAGCTGCCTCTCGAAGCGAGTGGGCGCTACGTAGCGCAGTTTCTCTGCCAACGATAAATATTCATAAATTCGCATTGTTTACGTGGGGGACATCTGTCATCTCTATCGCACATGCACGGCTCATTAGGCTCACGTTTTATCAGGAATTCGGCCAGGAGCAGGGCGAATGTGGCGCTCGCATTAAGCTTCCGGCCGCAGGACATTTTGTCGAGCAGCCCGTAGATGCGCTGCGGCAGCTCCTGCTCCCGATCCGTGTCGCTCTGCGGAAACGTAGCTGGTTGCATGCAACACCCACTAATTGCAGCCAAAACCAGGCCGAGCTTCAGCGCAGCAAGCAACATGTTGTCAGCTGTAAGGACAGGATTCATCTATGCCAAACTGGGTCCCGGCCACATCGAAATCACATCGCCTCTCGTCTTTGATTTCACTCCCCTTATGAAGATTAATCGTATCACATTTGTTCTGGCCGCTGTGCGTGGGCGTCATCGAGTACTGCGGGATCTGTCGTTGTCCCACTGGTACACAATATTAAGTTTCTCATATTAATCACAATTTAAATCCGAATACATTAAGCTGATGAAAGGATTCTGGTATCTTCTGCTGCTGCACGGTTATTGATTTTATTAGCCATCAGATGGAACAGGAAACGTCCAGAAGTTAATCAGTTGATCCAAAATATATACAGATTGCCCTTCACTGTTTTTTCGCGGCACTCTGTTTGAATTTATTAGAGAAGGCAGCAACAGCGCTGTGAACGATAGCATTCGCTTGAGAGCAAAATACCTCACTGCGTTTCGTCTATGCCGAAATTGGTCACACTGGAGTGTCACTTTTTCTTTGTGTAATTTTTTGTAGTGAAAATTTTAAATCTTAAAAACAATTTAAACAGTAAAACAGCTCGAGTCGCAAGTGTTTCTAATGTCGGAGAACAAGGACGAGACCCTGGCCAGTTTCCAGGTAAAGTGCGCTGCCCACGTCCCCATCAGAAACATGAGAAACTTCTGTGATTCTTTTATGCGCACATTTTCGATGCGTGTGTGCTGCTGTGTGTTCGCAGTGTGTGGGTGACGTTGTGTCGGATATTTTTCTGTGGTTTGCTCAATATTTTAATGCAAGCTTCCCTCCCTTCATGACATTTGCAGAACATAACTGGCATCGACGATGTCGGCGAGGCCTTCTCCCACCTGGAGGCTGTCAACTGGAATCTTATGGTAAGTTCTGCAACGTCACAGCCGTCTTTGTCTCGGTCTTCGCACATGCGTAAATTCAATTGCGTTGGCGTTAATGCTTTGTCTGCTTGTCTTGCTGCAGGATGCCCTGAGCCGAGTCATGCCACATGACGATGCGCCGCTGTCCAATACCGTGCTAGCACCGCAGCCAGCACTCCCGAATCCAGTGCAGCCAGGAGCTCAATCAAACACAAACGGCTTCAGGCCTCCCAGCTACGATGAGCTGCCAGGGCCATCGAACGCCAGCGCCTCCAGCTTCTTTGCCTCGGCCATGCACAACCACAACCAGAACCAGCGTCACCGATATCCCAGTGAGTTTAGACAGTGATTGTGTTTGCATATACACGAATGCCATCACATAAGTACAATTCTACTGTAGCGTCACATTTGCTAGCCCAGCTGACGTCGAGCATTAACTTGGATCCCTCCAGTCAGAACAACAACCAGAACGTCATGAATTTCAACATTAACTTCAACCAGACGCTGTTCCAAATACGATTGCCCTCAACAGCCACGATTGGTATGTACCACGCGCACCTGCAAGCTGCCATCGAATGCAAGCAATCCTCTCTTCTGGACTCGCTTCTTTCAGATCAACTGAAACGCAAAATTTTCGATGTGACCAATGTGCCAGTGTGCCGCCAGAGCATATGCGGCTGGCCGCCAGCTAAAGCCAGCGATGCTCAGAAAGGGGGAACACAGATTTGCAATTTAGATTTGTCACCGGAGAACGAGCTGATTCTGATTGATCTAACCGAAGATGGTTTCATGGACACAGAGCCGTAAGCAGATGCTGGAATAATGATAATACAAATTGTATTAAATGTCCGTTCTATGTCTATTCTTGCAGCGATGAGGTGCCGCAGCGATTGGATAAGGATTACAACATCAAGATATTGTACGAGCCGCATGGTACCTTTACACTGAACCTATCCGGGCGGACAACCATCCTGGAGGTTAAAACGAATGTCTACTACGTAAAGGAAATACCAGTGAGACACCAAGAATGGACTGGCTGGCCCAGTGGTTGTAATAATGACACAACATTGGCGGTAAGTTCCTCTTGCTGTCTACTCTCTGAACTATAATAAGCTTTCATGATCGTTTCAGGAATCGGGCATTGAGCTAAATCACCAATTCGTTTTACGGAACCTTGCGGAACGCGCTCAATCAAATTCCAATGCGGCTCTCGACGGCGAGAACCCACAGACGATTTCCAATTCGGCGAGCAACACATTCGATGTTGTGACTCTCGACAGCGAGAGCTCAGCGGATGAGTTTGAGGATGCCACAGACTTCAACACCGCTGAGTACATATTTACAGATTCGCCGCCCGTACAACCGCTCAACAGACATCTAAGTATGAAAGATCTAAAATGCTTTTGAATTACAATTTGCTGTTACTAAAAGTGTCCGCTTTTTTAGTACCAAACAACACGGATGATGAGACGACCGGCTCCTCCCAGTTTGTGGAAAACTACCAGTCACGCTTTGGCGAGCCCTATCCTGAGTTCTTTGTCGGCAGCTTAGAGAGTGCCTTGCAGCTGGCTTGCCACAAGCCTGCCAAAGAGGTGAGCCAGCCCCTCAACTGTTTCCCAAAAAGGAAGTTTATTCATCATTCTGTGTAATTGCAGCGCAAACTCTTGGCCATTTACTTACATCACGGCGAGAGCATACTCACGAATGTGTTCTGTGATCATCTGATGAAGGCAGAGAGCATAATTCAGACTTTAAAGGAAAAGTTTGTGCTCTTCGGCTGGGACATGACCTACGACAGCAACAAGGACATGTAATTATCTGATATTCCCATCAAAAAATGTATGCTCTACAAATGTATTCCATTGGCAGGTTTCTTTCCTTGCTGACGGCTCGTATAAGCAGCAACGCCTCACTCACGGCCAGAAACATAAAGCTAGACAAGCTTCCGGCCATTATGCTAGTGGGAAAGAGCCGACAATTGGGCAGCAACTGCGAGGTTCTCTCTGTGATTCATGGTACGGCAACTCACAGCGCTTCAAGTCAATATTTTATATGTATATCTTTACTTTGTAGGCAACATTGGTCTAGATGACTTGCTAAGTAGGCTGATTGAGACAACCGCAATGTACGAGGAGCAGCTGCAGGTGGAGATACGGCAGGAGGACGAACGAGCGGCTCGCGATCAGGTAAAGGCCGAGCAGGACATGGCATATGAGGAAACCCTACAGGCTGATATGGCCAAAGAGGCAGCAAAGAGTCAAAAGGCGGCCGCTCAGGCAGCCGAACGTAAGCGCATTGAGTCGGAGCGAGCTGAGGAGAACGCCAGGCGCGAGTCCATACGTTTAGTCGTAAGTAGCTGTCAATTAGTGGTTATAGAATTTTATTAACATAAACTCTGTTTGGCAGGCCGAACAATCGCTACCTCTGGAGCCTGGCGAGCAGGAAGCAAGCATTTGCAAGATACGTGTACGAAAGCCCACGGGCGATTTTCTAGAGCGTAGATTCTACACTCAGAACAACTTGCAGGTAAGCGGATGGAGCATCTCCTTCTCTTGATCAAAAGCCACTAATCCTGGGATAAACTCTTTTGGAATGCGTGCAGGATCTACTAAACTATGTGACCGCCAATGGGTTCCTCATCGAAGAGTACAAACTGATCAGCAGTTGGCCGCGTCGCGATCTGACAGCCATCGAATCTAGCCAAACCCTGGCGACGCTCAAAATGTCACCGCAGGAGACGGTCATCCTGGAGGAGCGATGATTCCGTTGCGTTCCGTTCCGTGTTTAGAGTTTTCTTTTTGAGTTTCGGTTTAGTTGATGATGCATTAATATTTGGAAATTCTAGAGATATCTATCACTTAAGTATGATAATTTAAGTGGAGCCCCAGAAAGTAGACACAAAAGCGTAAATACTACAAACACAACACACACACATACACATATACATATATATCTAACGCTCCAAATAATTGTAATGGTTTTTACAAACTATATATATATATATATGCATATATATCGTATACTCGTACATACATGAAATATATATATATATATAAATAGAAGAAAGCGCAACCAGATACAACCAGCGATCCATGCCCCAGCAGCAGCAGCTGCAGCAGCAGCTTGCATACCACGTGAGAGTTGATTAGAGAAGAGAAAAACGGGGAATATAAACAAATTTAATGCATTTATGTTGGCTTGTTTTACTTTTATTAATAATAAATTATATAACATGTACTGAACGCTCTGCTACCCCGAATGACACACAAAATACATACAAACACGTGCATATATATGTAAATATATATATGTAGAAAACGGTATAGGGGAGAGATGAATCAGTAATCAGGGGTGGTGGTGGGGGCGGGGGTTAAACAATGAGCAATATCGGAGGCCATCGGTTGGCTTAGAGAGCAGAGGTGGAAGGGTAGGTGGGGGAGGGAAAACACTGTCTTAGGCTACGTCTTCCACCAGATTCATGAGTCTAGGACTTGCCCAGAAATTGTTCAATGGGTGCCAGCACCACTAGAAGAATTAGCACCACAACAAACAGAACAAGAACCACGCCATAGACTCCCAGCAGTCCCTTGCGCATGGCACCGTACTGAAAGAGGAATTCAAATAGAGAATTATTGTTGGGAAATTACTAGAAGTAGTTCCACCTACCGGTGCATCCATTTTCCGCTCCATGCTCATGCCATTGCGCATGGCGTGCTGTTGATGATGCGGCGACATTTCGCCCATCTGGAAGGTGTTCGCCCGCTGGCTGAGGTGCCGCTCCGAGGCCATGCCCGTGATCTGCCAATGATTCAAGCACAAGCCAATCTACACATTAATGGACATAGCCACGCTGCTCTTGTGGGACGATGGATGACATATGAATTAGTAGCAGATGGATGAGCGTTTAGGGACACAACTAGAATCTCTGTACAGGCAGGCAGGTGATGCAGGGGTACCAAGATCTCAACAGAGATCTGGCTCAACTCTACGCTATATACACTCTGGGGTCAAATGAAAGGGGTACACACAATCACCCGGGTGGACTCGGCCGCGCTACTTACAGAGAATATCAGGTGGACGAGGACATGGACCACCACGAAGGCGACCAGAATCCAATCCATCCACTCGGGCAGCTCAGCCTTGGGCAGCTTCACCGAGAAGAAGATTGTCACAACTGCAAGAGCAAGCAAAGGGCATAAAGATTGCTGGAAGATTCAACCAGGATTCTGCGTGGAGAACTTACTGCCGAGGATGTGCGCCAGATTGCCGCCCAACCAGTGGCCCCAGTTGAAGTACGGCCGCTTCTTGTCGTTGGGTCCGGGCCGGAACAGAGCGCCAATGGGCTGGAGGAAGCAGAGTATGACGGTGATGAGGCCAATGATGGAGTGGGCATGCCACACGGCGCGCTTCAGCTCCACCCAGATGAGGATGTAGGCGGCTATTGTCAGCGACCAGGTGGTGACCATGAGCAGGCGATGCCACGCGAACCACTGATCCTTGCCGCAGCTCTGGCTGCCCACCCACGTCTGCTTGAAGTAGCGGGCAAAGATGATGCCCAGCGAGGTGGTGCCGATCCAGGCGGCGATCATGAAGGCGCCATGCAGCTGCACGAGCAGATTGCTGGAGCCACTCAGGTCCTGCACTTCGGCCAGGTTGATGGCCTTGCCCGAAGGCAGGCGGCCAATGTCGTGGTAGCCCACACTGTTCTCCTTCAGGCTGCTGCCGGAGGCCACGAGCAGATGGTACTGTTGCCTTCTCAGGTCGAAGGTGCGTCCCTTTACCACAGTCACGGGATCGCGCGCCACCCTGCAGTAGATTACGCCGTCCACAAGCGAGGCATTCAGCAGTCGAGCCGAGTTCTGGGGCTGCAAAAACGGGAAGCAAAAGGGGATTAGCCAATGTAAGATTAGCAGGTGAATGTCCCAGAACGTACCACGCTGGTTCTGACGGCGGCATAGGGAGTGGCCGAGGTGTAGGAGGAGTACATGGTGACACGCCCGTTCTCGGGCACACACTCGGTGGTCAGGTCCTCACCCATCTTGGCATCGTCTGAGAGACCAACAGCCACGTAGGCAGCATTGTTGCCCCTGCCAGACTGAATCTCGAACTCGTAGATGTCCCCGCGCACGGTCACGGCGGCAACGGAGGTGCAGGTCTTGGTGTTCACACAGCCATCCGGAAAGCCGAAGCAGTTCTTGCTCACGCCGCAGCCGTTGTAGAAGGGATCGGCGGTGGCTGCCACAGCGCTGGGCGCCACATAGTTGGGCGGCACATACGGAGCTCGAGTGGTGGGTAGAGCCGAACCAAAAGCGGGCTGTGGACCAGCTGTGGGCAGTGGCACGGCGCCCAGGTCACGCCTCACAATCTGCACAGGATTGGAGGGCACGCCCACCCAGAACTCGCTGTACGATTGGGCAATCGTGGCACTGCGGGCGAAGGGTTAGAGCAGTGGCTTTTCCAGAGGATCTCAATACTCACTTGAAGACCACCTGGCCAAGGAAGTCCACCGGGGATTGCCACTCCAGGTAGACCTGCGGCTTGGCTCCGGCATTGCTGTGCGTCGCCGAGTTGTTCACGGAGTTCTCGCAGTTCATTAGCTTGACGGTACCGTCGCGGGCCGGGCTGAACTGGCCGACAATCTGGTGGGGTGGATTGCGGTTGCGGGCCTGCACCATGAACCCGCCGAAGGTCAGACCCTCCGGCACACCCGTCACATCCACGCGCACCGTCTGGCCCTGGCCCACCGTCGAGGCGGAGGTCTCCACGCTGAAGGGGGAGACGCTGTTCTGGGGCAGCACACTGCCACCCGAATGGAACGGCAGCATTGTGTCGCACACCGTTTCCGGTGCACCTTGCGGCAAGCTCTGGCTGGGCTCCAGCCATGTGGCCATCACCAGCAGCGACATCGTCATCGCCAGCGCCCTCCAGCCGACTCCCTTGCGCGCTCTCCGCACCATCCGCACCGTCCCCGTCATCTTCGAGAGCACCTGTCGAGCAGACAATGTGAGTCAGAATCATAATCAGACAAGACGTTCGTTCGCCTCGCTCTTCAGTAATCAGAAGCGAACCGAACCGTGTCCAGGCTTCCGTCAGCACCCCGCCACACGCTTATCAACTGCCACTGCCACCGCTGACTACCAGCATTTTCGTTTCCATTTGGATTTCTATCATTTGCCGAATGTTTAATTACCATGGCATAAATAATTGCACTGCCAACTTTGGCAAACAATGTCGCCTCCCGCTTATCGGATGGCACGTTTCCAGTGAACCAGCCACCAGACAGCCACCGAAGAGTTGCGAATGTTTATCTGGTTGTGTATCGACACCCTTGATGATAACTATCTATCTAACTATCTCTCCGTATAGCGCTACTCAGTGAGGCACTATCAATGAAGCACCACTTTAGAGTGGGGCCTCAAGTACCAAATACAAATTGGCCAATATACTGCGGAAAAGCTTATAATACAACCTTGAAAGTTCTACGTTGATTTAGCTTAATAGTTTGCCAAAAGGCTGAGAGGTTATTGCATATTCAGGCATATCCTCAGTTCAGTTGAAATGAATTCCAAAAATTCCATGAGTGTTCTCTGAGTGTTTTACCCTAAATCAGATCTTTGCACATTTTAAGTACAAGCATCGCATAAATACTAATGGCAGACAGTAGCGATATCTGGCCACAGATTGTGCTATATTGAGATAGGGCCAACATATCGTTTAACACCATTTAGCTTTCAGTTTGTTGGCCACTCAATGCTTATCATTGTGTTGCTCGTCAGGCACTGCTGCGTATACGTAATGCACACTATATAGTACAGTACATCGAGTAAGCGATTAATGGTGGTATGGTATGGTGAGCTGTATAATAAATTAAGCGTTTATTACGCTTAAGCAAATTACTTAATTATTTTTAGTGGCCGACAATTGTCAGGCGGTTTTTTTGCTTTTTGCAATTGGGTGGCAGTGCCAGAGCCTCAGAGTAACATTATCGAGGTCAGTTCCCCCGAGAATGACTCAGAACATGAATGACTTTTGCTTTCGCTTGCGGTCACGTCGGTTGCGGGGGGGATCTACAAGCCAGATCCATAAGGAAGTGAGCGCCATGGGAGTGAAGCGAACGCAGCATTCAAAGTTGTATGTATATTGTGGATTTTCCCATGTGCCAGCATGAGCGGCATACTGATGAATGAATGATTCATGGCAAAGGCGAAGGCGAAGGCGATCAACGATCTAACCAGCCCAGCAGCATTTATTGTCTGTATGTATATCCCAATCCCACTCTGATTTGTGCCGCTGCCCCCTCTTGAAATAACAAGAATGCGCGAATTGAACTTGAATTCAAAATCATTTGCGATTAACCTTGAAGTGTTTACCTTTTCATTATAGCTACAAATGTACATATACTGTATGTGTTTTTATTTTTGTGAAATTAATTCGACTGCCTTTCTTTGAAATGTCAGAAAAATGCTAATTGAAGCCCGCCCCAAGCCTTGCTCGACTTTATGTATCTCGGATACAGTCATTGTTTAGATCTTATTTTTGGGTTATTTTTCGTGTATGCCATATTTGAGCGTTCACATTTTTATGCGTTCGAACCTTGAAAGTCAAATTTATCGATGGTGAATGATTTATCTAGGAAACAACATTCACCACAGACCCAGACCTAGACCTTTACTGACGCGATAAGCCACCTCGGCGTTCGCTGTCGTGGAAGGTAAAGTGAAAACAGTAAATTTCACCTGGCCTCAAAACGGCCCAAGCCATAACAATAAATGCTTTCCATTAAATTCTTGGCACATTAATAAGTGTTTTGCCACAGTGTTTCATATAGCCAATGGCCCCCTAGCTCCCAAGCGCGGACAACGAAGCCACGGCTACGGCTACGACTTGGCTTGGCTTGGGTTTGTTGTTAAGTTTTTGTTTTGTGAACGTGAGACCAAACTGATTAGCGACTTTTCCACAACAAATACACAAAAACAATGCGCCATTATGTGGGCCCGAGCACTTGACTCCATCATGCATATTGTGTACATGTGTACATATGCATTTGCATTTGTATATAACAATAATATGAAACCTCAATAGAGGTTGCCATTCCCCTGTTATAAAGCCAGTTTTAAAATAATCGCAATTTGAATGCTGGCAGTGTACGAGTACACACGAGTATGTAAGTATGTTCCACATTTGCTGTGTGCGGAGAAGCATTAAGATCTGCTTTTGACAGCACCACTCTAATGGCTTTGATCAATATTTAAAGATCGAAATTTGTAGCAGCGAAAAACCAATTTGGATGAGTTCCAGGGTTAAGTGACTGTGCACATTTCTGAATGTTCTGGATTGCTGTGTCAAGTGTGTCGTTAAGTTTTATAAACTTTGATTAGATTTCTGGTCATTCGAATCAATACAAGAATTTATTAAGCCTCAATCTGGCTATGTGGGGGTTTCGAAGTTCCCCGTTCACAGAAATTTTGTACCACACGACAAGCTATTGACCCCATCCATGCTGGGCCTGAGGGTGGAAATGGGACCGGTCAAGGTGGGCTACTAGTTTTCTTTTGTCATGACAATTGCTGGTCATTGCAGGGCAATCTTAACCGGACATCGCGTGCCACGAATTGTGTAAACTGGGTTAACACTTGCCCCTTGTTGGCTTTTCCAGCAAGTACACAAAACCCAACGAGAAGGAGCTATCGGCATGGGGTTGGAGCTATAGTTACAAGGAGGCACATAAATATTCCACGTATTCTATTCCTGGCAGATTGATCAACATTTTCAGTGTGTTTGCATGTCCGTACAGGATAGAAAATTAAAGTGGCATGTGTCGGCATGTTGGCTCCTCGATGGGTATCGTCGGGCATGTCAGGGCCATTGACTGCAATTTATTTCGATCGCGACGTTGATACAAGTCCAGAATCAATAATCTATTGTTTATGCGTATGGTTTAGATTGAAACACAAATTAGAGGCGTCAGCTTACAGTTCGTAAGTTGAGCACTGAGAGCTGAACATGTGCGCTGAAACTATGTCACACGTGTAGAACTGGCTGAGACAAGAACGACCTCTAATATTCCGATTTTGATTTGATGTATGCGCATACATAAACTGGCAATTAGATGACATCATGGAGAGTAATTCAGCGTGCATACACTCCTCGTTCAAGGAAAACCTGCAACTTGACAGACGCACGCACAAAAGTAAAGCAAAAAGCAATTTTATGGATTGCAACATATATAAAATAGTACGGGGGATAGAGAGCGAGTGTCACAGTTGATTAATCAACGGAGTTGAGTTTGGGTTGCATAAAGGAAACCCCAACACACACAAGTGTGCCAATTTCTGGTGGCCAGCGTCACGTCCAGAGATAAAGACAGCTGCACGCCCTCTTTCCAGGTACTTGCTTTTCAGCGTTTTCAGCGTTTTCAGCGTCTTGTGCTCTCTTGAATTCCATTCCATTTCGTTTTCATTGCCTATACCTTCGCCCCGTCTTCGTCGATCCGATCCGATCCGATCCCCTGTTTACATCACCAACTTTTGGGGACTGCGCAGGCGCAACGCCTGACATCACTCACTTGACAATGGATGGCAACAGGTCTTATTTTTGCACTCTCGCATAAAAAAGCTGTTTAATTAATTACTACTTTTCCATTGTATTAGAAGAATTGCGTTGCACAAAGTTGTGTGCCATTGAAATGGCTTGTGGTTCGGCTCTATGTATGCAGCGGGGGTCTGTGATCTCACACACCTTCCCAGGCAGAGCGAGCAGCTCTCACACAGCATCGTATCATTCACACATTGTTGGGGAACCGGTTAGCCCGTACATGCTGGCGTACATGCGACATAGTTCAGGTAGAAAGAAATAACAAAAACAACCGACACAGACACAGACACAGACGCAGGCACCGTTTTTTTCTTTCCATATTTATTTTTGCGCGAGTCTCTCGCTCACACACTCTTCGCTGAAGGTATCTTCTACCCGCCTAGCATCTTAGGTATTTTTATGAACGCAATCCTACTAAACTTGAAACAAGTGGTTTTCCAATTAGCATGAGATCTTTTTATGAGAGAATCGAAGATTCCTCTCACATATTGGCAGTGGGTGTGGCAGTATTGTGTTAGTTTTCAAGTTGAACTTCACTTTCAGTAGAGCGTCGTGGCGGGGAGTGGACTGGGAGTGGATCAACATATTTGCATATTGCATGCCATTCCATTTCCAAAAAGCTGCACACGTTTTTGTTCTTTCTGTTTTTGTTATTGCTGTGGCTGTTGTTGTGCATAGAACATGCCAGAGGCGAGCACAAAACACCATTTATCGCGAATAGCCCAAAACTCGTTTGTCAAGGCACGCACTAACCTAAAATTCCTAATTAAAAAACGTTCAAATCACTTCTAGCTCCGTGCGTATACTTCTCTGTGGAAGTGTTAACCGCTTATGTGCCGTAACCGAACCGAAAGCAACGCGTTACCGCCAACGACTGTGTGCGGCACTGTGCGGCCACTGTGCTTTTGGTAGTAACTGGCCAGCTGACGAGCTTCTCAAAGTAGTCAGAGACTACCGTACCGTAGCAATTCGGCGGCGTACTAATGTTCATTTTACGCTTTAATAAAATAACTTTTAGCTGCGTGTTCCATTTTATTCTTCTAATTCATTTCATTATGATGATTTAATTGTTTTAATAAATTTTGAATTTGAAAAGGCGCCTTCAGCATGCAAGGCCACATCCAACTCGATATCAGGAATACCCCTAATAAAGCATTTTTTTAATATTTATTTTGGTATTTTAAGACTTTACTTGTTTTCAGTATTTTTAAAGGCAACATTTTCTGTGGTAAATAATTGATAAAAAAAGAGAAACAACTAAGGAAGAACAGCTGTTGGTGTCTTCGTTTGCTCTTTTCTTAAAAATACGTCCTTGCAATTCAGATGCGCAAAATGTTCTTGCGACAGAAAGTGCCATATATTTCGCTCTGTGCCCAGTATGACCAAAGTGAACAAAGTGCATGCTCTCTTGGTACACTGTTTTCCGTTTGAATTCAAAATTCAAAATGTTGCATGAAAGCAGGAGGCGTGTGTTACTTTAGTGTGGATATTGGAGCTTGGAACAGGGAAAATCACCGCATTATTGGATGCTATGTTTTCTTTGGTGTATTCAATTGCATAAATGTATAATTGAAATATATAATATTCATGGCACGGATTTAAAATCTGACAATCCGACAATCTGCTCAGTCACACTTTTTAAATGCGACGCATTGCCAGCAACATTCAGGATAGTCTACTCGCGTGTTTACTCCATCGTTATCACACTCCGCGAAAGTTACAGGCATTGCGCAACTGAAATTAATATATCGATTTTCAATTCACAGTTAACCTGTACAGAATATTTGTGGAGATACTTACTACAAATACATTGCTCCTGCGGTTTTGTCGTCATTCTCTACACAGCTATACGTCCCACAATAACTAGAGCTCTGCCTTGAATACCCAATTTCCACAGTTATGTTGCCCACAGAATCATTTGTAAGAGTGCAGTGAGTGGTGCTTTTTACATAGTATCCACTCATCCAATATTTTCTGGTTTCATTTCGATACCTTCCGGTATTATAAGAATATCCATATTTTTCCGGCACCCAATCTCTCTTTGCTTCGTCACCTATATGCACTAGAGAATTCAGGCCGGAAACGACCACCAATGTCAGGATGACGCTGTACTTCAGGATAATCATGACTGCAGAGAGGCAGGAGACAAGACAGTTAAAACCTCTCTAACTTAATGAAAGGGCCTAAGCAAGCGACTGCCTTATATAGTACATATTGAACACAAAATTTACCAGTTGGGAGAGCACTTGCGATTCCCATGAAAACTAACGCTTACACAGGAACCCCATTCACCCATCGGGAGCCCCCCGTTTACCCAGCTTTGCACACACCTTGGCGCCTTTGCTGCTGCTACAAATTATAGTGAAACGAGTGAACACACAGAACTATTTCGGAGCAATGTAAGCTGAGGCCGTGCTTATGGCGAATAAACGACTGAACGATGAAATTTTAATTAAGTTTGGCATCGAAATGATCATCGGAAAGGTAAGGTAAGGTTTGCCATTCTTCTCCAGTTCTAATGCAATCAGTGGATGTACAAGTAGGAAAAGCAGACAGCGATAAGGAGCCCACACCCTGGAGGTCATCTTCTTCGAGCGTCTTCTAGGTGTATTGCATCACACACCACAAGCAGGCAGCATTGGACAATGGATAAGACTATAAATGGATAAATGGATAAATGGATATGCGCAATCCAAAGCCACGAAACTCTAAACGGGACACAAATATGTATTAGTTTAATGAAATGTATTCAATTATGTGCACTTACAAGCGTTTCCCCTTTTGGAGGGACGATGGGTTTCTGGGCCGCAGTGGCACGACAACCGACCTTGAACGCCGCCACCCATTGGGACAGCCCAATGGAAGCCAAAGCCAACGGCAACGCCAACGCCAACGCCAAAAGAGAAAACTGCTTGTGCCGTAAGTTGGGTAGGGTAGTGGTAAGGGGTACGGGGTACGGGGTACGGGGAGCCCCGGTTATGTCACTGTTGTGGCCTATTTGGTGTAGTGCCACAAATGTCACAATTCCGCATCCCACATTTCTCCATTCCCCCAGCCCAGGAAGCCTTAATTTGTACATTAAACAAAATTAAACTCATTAAACTATGTCTCCCACTCGAATTGCCCCATGTATACATAGATTTGTGGCACGTTGCACGAGTCACTGTGAGGCTGACACAGAAAACGCGAATTTGTGTCATTGATTCCGTGACTTTGTCCAATAATTATAATTATTGACCATCGTCTTGCTGCTCGCCATGAACTCGGTATCTCGATACTTTAAAGTTTGAATCACTCCACCGTTGAGATGTACGCGGGTGGTGTGTGTGTGTGTGTGTGTGTGTGTGTGTGAGTGTGAGTGGGATTTCCCAGCAGCAATTTTGTTCGGAAATTGTTGGTTTTCGGGGGACAAGTTGACTTCCTCTTTGTGTGCCGAATGTATGTGCGTGTGTATGTTTGGAGCCAAGAGAGAACAGTGGGGCTAACTATTCAGTGGCAACATGGCGACATGCAATTGCCACACTGAAAGAAAAAAGATGGTAAGAGATGACTTTATACTATTTACACAACCAAATTTCAATTCAATATTCGCGTTTCAAAGCTTGAATGTTGGTTTGGGTATTCATATTTCAATTCTTCAGATTAATTGTGTGACAGAAATGCAATATAAAAAACATTTACACTCTGAGCTTGTTGCCAGCTCTTCTTCTTTTCACTTTCGTTTTCGAAACGCGCCTCTCACTGCCTCACTGTCGGTCTGGCCTGCCTCTCTGACTCTCGCTGTCTCGCTGTCTCCGCCTCTCCGCCTCTCTGACTCTCTCTCCTGCTCTCTTGCCGTTACTATTACTCAATAGCAGCTCGTCGGAGCCCCAGCCCCAGCCCCAGCCCCAGCCCCAGCTACAGCTCCAGCCACGGTGTTGATGGCATTTTGATTTTGAATTTGTCAGCCAACTGTTTATTAAGTGTTTTGACTCAAAGGCAAACTGTTCGCGAACGGCGTCTGGCTGCATGCATCGATCGCAAAATCCACACAAAAACATGTGAAAAGGTGTCCCAAAAATATGTATAAAAATACTTACTGAGTGGGAGAGAAAGAAAGAAAGAGAGAGAGAAGCACTTCAGGGACGGGACAAAACGAAACGGGCCTGAACCTGGGCGATGCAAACGAGACGCGATTATTCAATCAAAAAACTCGCGCCGCTACGTGAATTAGTGAAATAAAATTGCAGAAATAAGTGACAAAAACAAGCAAAAAAAAAGAGGAACACTTAAAACCGAAAAATCCAACAACGAAAGTATTGCAAAATGCGCCTGCGCCTGGGTCTCCACACGCCCCTGTTGCCCCTGTTGCCCCTGCTGATGCTGCTGCAGCTGCTTGAGAGTGTTTCAGCTGCCCAAAGCAGCTACAACTCCGTCTACAATGAGGTGATTCCGGCGGAGCTGAAGCAGGCAATTGACAAGGAATTGCCAAAGCAGGCCAAGTTCTTCGATGAGCTGGATCGTAAGTATCAACATAAGTAAATCGGGTTCGTTGCCTAAGTCTTTCGCCTTGTCTTGCACAATTTGCATATTGGTTAACACGCGACACGATGACTGGTCCGGCACGGTGTAACCTTGATCTTCGCTGCTCCGCTTACCACATCCACCTCCGCTATCGATACCATGTCAAGTTCGGGCGCTGACTCAGCGACAGAGATACAAAGAGACAAGGAGCCAGTGGTCCAAGCGAAAGTGCATACATTCCGTTCTTGGCGATGGCACCCTCCATCGCACCAACACCCAACAAATCCCGCTACAGACTGACTGAATGACCATGAATCATTCCGCCTAATTGGACTTTCCAAAAGACATACAGGAAAAGCAATTAGCCGCGATGGCAGCAACAGCTGGCAATGATTACACATTAACATACGGGTAAGATAGGCCACAAAATACACAACTTGAGGCTCGAAAAGAAATAAAGAAAGCCCCGCATTTTGGATAATTGTGAATGGCGAAATATTATAAATAACAATCGCACACAGAGCTCCATATAAACTGCACACATATAAAGACAGATGCGGGATACCTGATTGCTGCACAAGTTCAATGGCAGCTGCTTTGGATTGGAGCGGATCGAATTGAATCGACTCGACTCGACTCGGATATGTAATATGAGCAGGAGCAAAAGTGTTTCCAGTGGAGACAGGAAAATCAACTGCAATTAACTGCAATTGCACACTCGCCTCACTCGCATTCGAAAGTGTTTTTGCCACTAACAACCAACTCATTCGGCGGCATGAGTCGGCCAGTTTCCCAAGCAGCAAGTACCAAACACTAAACAGCAAACACCACAGATTATAGATTATTTTGGCTGACTTTTATGTAAGCGAAACCTTGGCCTAAGCCAAGCCAAGCCTAGCAACATGTTGTTAGCGCCAAAAACCACAGCAGCAACAACATCAAAATGTTGCACCACTGCTCCACTCTCTACTCTCTCTTTCCCACTGCCAGAGCCGAGTGAAATGCCGAAATGTTTGGGGCTATGTGGTGTTTGGTTGCTTCGGCTCGGCATTGGCATCGGCATCTTGCATCTGGCAGCAGGCTCGTGCTTTGGCCGCCGCAAAAGCTTGGCTTAGTTCTGAGCTGATTTTCCCGACGCGCGGTCGCCCATTGTTTGCTGTATTACCGCAGTAGAGTGAAGTGAAGTGGAGTAGAGTAGAGTAGACTGAACTGAACTGGACTGAAGTGGAGTGTGTGCGCATGCGTAAAGCCAAAATCAAGACGCTTCGGCTGTGGTGGAAAAGCAAAGCAGAGCTAACTCAAGAGTTTTCTTTTTTCGTGCGGCATCGTTGCGCATGCGTGGGCCCCAAGAAAGCGCCAGTTGAAGTTAAATGAAAATAAAAGTGAAATCCTTAGCTATCGAAACAGCCTAGTGGCAGGATCGGATCGATCCGAAGACACCTCCAGATCATACAAATCTGGGAAAAAGCGAAAGTGAAAGAGTGAAAGTTCATCCATCCATCCATCCATCCACCTATCGCTCTGGAATGTCACTGCCTAGGCACTCGAAGGACACCTGGCTGCGGCTCTTGGTCGGTGTGGTTTGTGCTGGCTGTGCACTGGCCGGGGTCTCCGGCCTTGGCTATCCGAGTGCCCAGCAGGAGCATGACATGCTCATACTGGACGCCCTCTCCCGACGCAGCGGCACCGGATATTATGGCGAGAACAGCGTAATGGAAATGCTATCCCGAAGTACTTGGCCAAAGACAATTTGATACGACTTGACTTACGATTAGATTACCCTCGCCTCAGACTTCCCACTGTCAGAGACTAATTTCATTTTCCACCTCTTCCCCTCTCTTTATCTTTCTCTTTCTGGCCACCAACCGATGTGTCTGTGCAGTGATACCGCAGTCGTGCCGCTTTCGTGGCCACAAGTTCGAGTGCGGCCTGTCCATCTCATGTGTCTTGGGCGGCGGCAAGCCCCTGGATCTGTGCTCTGGCGGCATGATCTGGTCGTGTTGTGTGGACAAAGATCTCGATGCCGAGGAGAGTCCGCATGCCGCTCCAGTAAACAATACAAGTAAGTACAGTGACAAGACTCCCTTCACCTACCCGCAGGCCCTGGCCAATCAGGGTAAACATTTTCTGAAAGACATTTGGCCTCCTGCTTTCCCCTGGCACCCTGGCACCCTGGCACCCTGCTCATGCTCCTGCATTGCCCGATTGCAAATTGCTGCGCTTCGAGAAGTTATGCAATTCGGATTCGCATAATAGCGCTATAAATTAGCTTGCATTTCGAAAATGACAACAAATTGCTCGCTCCGAAAACAAAAACAAAAACAAAAACACAAGCACAGGCATGGGCACAGGCATAGGCAAACAGATCACACAGATACCCCCCAAGTGCCCGCCCAGGGGCATATGAGTGCGGCCTGCAACTTAAGTGATGGAGAAGTGATCTGCAAGTTAGATCATCTCAGGAAAACCTCCAACAGGCAGGCAATTGTTCGACGAAATTGGGTATACGCAAGTCTCGAGGCAAGCTTTTATTTGCGTAGTTTATAGAAATGAATGGAATGAGAATTAAATGAGAAGAACATAATTAAATAGTTCGATTTTGGAATAAAACCAAATCGAATTGAATATTCCAGTCATTTCCATTCATATTTACATTCCTACATTTAAATTGTGAGGAACAAGCGCTTGGTTAAGCCATCATCAAGTGCATTGGTTACTTATATCGTAATCGTAATTGTACTTGTAATCGTATAGAAGCCAATTACTAATGCAGCAACAGCCAACAGTAGTAAGAATAACAGTTACTTGAGTATATGTACACATGTATATATGTATGTGTGTACATATTATGCCACACACGCATAAAGCTAACAAATTTTGTTGCTTCTTCTCTGCCATTTTGTTGTGCTCTGTTTAATTTTCTAGTTTACCAACTGCTTCTTTATTTTTTGGGTGTTTTTTGGTTTTGTTTTTCTTATTCATACTCTTTATTATTATTTTGGGCATAAGGAACAATCGGTTCTGTCTAGTTGGTCCATCCATATAGAATTTTCTTTGTGGATCTCAAGTTTTGCTTTTGCTGTTGTTATGCCTCTCGCCAATTTATGTTTTGAATATCTAAAGTTATGCAAGATTAATCAAAATAAAAATCCTTGCTAAGGCCATCATAGCTTGACTGATTGTGTGTGTGTGTTGAAGGGTATAACAAATTCGTCTTGCATAAGTTCCGTTTTCGTTAATTTTTTAATTAATTCTTTGT